ATTCAGTAAGGACATCTCCTGGTTTCATCTTCATGTTTCCCTCTCACCAGATAACCAAACCGATATCATGACCAGCAGCTTTTACAGCTGTGGCTCCAGCAAACATCAGCTGATACTAGGAAGTAATATTAAATAAATTCTAACAACAGCTGATCAACCTTAAACGTGCTGCTGTTGTTTAGTTGGTTTTCTGTTTCTGGCACAAAGTGGGCGATAAACAAACAAGAGAAACAGGACTTGCATCAGAAAAGCCGATCAGCTGATCATTGATCAGTTTCATGATTGAAGTAGCAACAGGAGAGAGAGGGGAGACAATGAGAGAAGAAGAGGCAGCTGACAGCGTAAAGACAGAATAAATCCAGCTTTGTGTCTTTTTTCATTCTAGCTGAAGTCCGGGACAAACTGTTCCTTTTCACCTCAACACAAAACGCGTAATATTTTCTCTGAATACAGGACTATTCCATTTCTGTACGGGACGGTTGGCAACTCTACTAACTATCCTTATGAATAAAATAAAGTTCACTATCAGTAACATCATAGCACCGACCCAGCTGTATAGAAACTCTGTCATGCTAGCTAATACGCAGTACAAGTTATTTTAACTGACTGTAAAAAGTTAGTACAACGAAAATAAACTACACCTAAACTTGGTTTATATCTGATCCAGATAGACTGCAGGTCATAACAGTTCACCTGACACTCGGACTAGCGGCCGCTTCGGGTCTCCTCTCCTCCTGCCTCCCCTTTCCCTCATCCACCTGCTGGCCTCTGTGGAAGCTCCGCCATAGCCACCACCAAACAACTGAGTTATTTTTACACATCGGCCAGCATGTGGCCAATCCACCACTTTCATTGTTTATACCGTTACAAAAAAAACCCCCATCGGGCCATAAAAACAAAAAATCGCCTCGGCCCGCTATGGTCATGCCATCAGTTAACCCTTCGTGTGCCAGCTGTGGCACGCGTGCCCAGGGTTGCCGACCCCTGCTGTAGTATATTAATAAGTGAGCTTTATAGGGTCTGGTAGGCTAACCCTTACATTTTAAATGGAGCCAGGCTCTGTTTCCCTCTGTTTCTACTCTCTAAGCTAAGCTAACTGTATCCTGTATTCACCTTAACACTAAACAGAAGGATTAATTAAAGCAAATAGGATTTTTAAAAGCTTTCCCTTTGAAAGATTCACTCCAAGAAAGCGCACAAATAAATGGCAGGAAGGTGTTACCAAGACTGTGCCCAGTCATTACAGATGAAAATGTTGGTTGGTTGGGTAACAGAGATAAGAGGCTGCTATCAGGATGTACCGGTCGCAGAGGTTAGTGTCCATGTTCTCTCCATGTTTTTTGTTTTATACAAGAGAATGTGAAGAACATCCCAGCAGAGAAATGTGTACTTTTCCAAACTGAACAAGATTTGTGACCCACTTCTATTCTGTAGAAATAAAGCACTACTTCAACAAAGTGTCACCTTCATTTACTCAACAGATAGACAGGCACACCCACACAAATAGCAGCCAAGACAGTGATATTTCAAAATCTTTTATTTTTACTTTTTTCAGTCACACCAACATTTGTATTGTCAAAAACTTCCCGAGTTCAAAATAATTTGCACGAGTCACAGTCATATATAAATCTGTTCTACATATCTGTATTACATTTTTTAAATAACATTCAAGTTAATTGGCTTAATCTCTGATTAAGTCAAATCTGAGTCCCCTCCTGTTCATTTCACAACTATTATAAATGTTTCATACTTTGTCTGTTGTGCAGGACGAAATCAACAAAGCAGTGCCAGTTTGAATCAATCCACAATTTCCTCTGTTAATCTGAACACCCCGCAGGTACATTTGAGTAACTTTGATTTAGTTGGCCTGTTATTCATAGACTTGTGAGTGTTTGCAAATACGATGCAGTATCTGTCTAAATTAACTGCATTTTAAATTTAGACTCATTAAAATCATCAGTCACATAAACTAATATCAATCTCTAGTGCATCAAATTAGAGTGTGTGATGAGGGGAAAAAAATGCAGGAAACTACGTGGTTGCTCTTGAGTCTCAGCACAAACAGACAAAAAGCACAGTGAGCATATTACAGTATGGAGCAATCCTGTGTTCGGATCACAATACTTGGGTCCAAATCGCTGGTATGTCTCTAAATGAAAACAATTTGACAGAAAATAAGATATTACAGGGGAAAAAAACTGAGAAAGAGAAAATATCCGCATCACACAAGACATGACGAGAACGACTGCAGGAAGAAACAACAGAATGGAAGAGATTTAAGGGTGACCTGTTCTTTAAGTAGCTGCTGCTACATTCCTTACCTTTCTTTTTTTGCAGAACATTTCAGGGTGAACATGAACATTTGCTAACCCATGTTTTCCTTTTCGTCTCTTTTGAAACACATAATTTGCACCTCTCTAAAGTTTTCTTTATCACTTAAACAACGAAACATGGGGCTGGAAGTACAGTTGAATTTTCACAGATGACAAAGTACATTTCATATCAGCTCAGTTTGTCTTTATAAGTTTCCTGATTGTTGTAAAATGTTGTGCTTTGAGCAGATACAATAAACACAAGTCCTACGGTTGATACAGGTCACATGACTGGAGAACTAAAAGGAATAAAGGGACAGGGGAGGGAATTATAAATACAAAATAACTACTTACTGCCTACTTTGTAGAATATGCACTAAACGGTTTTGGAAATCTATTTGAACTTTGCCAACCAGATGGTCATGTTATTGACATTTAAATGAATCATGCTTCAAACTTATACACACAGACAATCATAAAAAAGACACTAAAAGCAAGGGTAGACACACGCACATACAAACACACACACGCATACAAAACACACAGACTCACTGAATCTGAGAACAGATTTCCAAAAGACTGTTTTTAAGTCCTAAAAACACGTTTTCAGACGCGTTTCTAAACCCTAAAATGTAAATAATTTCTACCAATAATTAAAGATTTTTTTCGTTTTTCACTTCATGACGTGGCTAGAGAGCAAAAACCATTTGATAATTCCTAAAAAGTTGCTTACTTGCAAGTTTATCATGTTACAAACACACTTTGTTACAGCAACGCCACACCGAGCTGTGTGCATCAGTGTGTGTGTATGTGTGTTTCCTGTTAGGCTTTGATGTGCTTACACACACACACACACACACACTCTCTCTCACAGATTATAAGTGTCACATCTGTGTGGGCCTTTTCTTGACGGCATCCTCTCAGAAGGAAAAACAAAGAGGGAGAGAAAGAGATACAGGGAGAGGGACTGCAGGATCAACAGGACGTTAACCCCACACGTGTATTTTGATCGCCCCTCGGGTTTAGTCCATAACTCCGCTTGCTCTCCTGTTAGTGTGCCACCTCTACGTCCCGCCATTGTACGAGTAGTCTGCCTTGTTGTGCATCACCAACTTATTGTCCACAAAGTAGAAGCTGTCCGACTGTGTCTCATACGGGTGCAGGATCATCTCTCTGACTGCAAGCAGACAGAAAACATTGCAGCTTTTAGAAGACCGGCTCCTAATCTACTCTGGTCAGAACAGAAAATAATTTTAAAAAGTAAAAGCAACACCTTCATTGGGCCTATTATGCAGCTGAATTGCTAAAAATTTTATAAAGTATGTAGTTTTAAGAGAAAAAAAGTGTAAACCCAATGAGATGCATAGCTGTCATTCTAAAATGATTGAAAGAAGTAAACATAATGTGACTTTAATACATAAATAACTGGTAAATATGTATTCAAGACACACTGAGTTCACTTAATTCACTTGTTTGACTGACAAATATGCCCTGTAGTAAATTCACTATGTTGCTTACATTAAAACTGTGTCATTTACTTAGTTTATATGTCATTACAATACATGATAGGCTAAAGTATTTTTGAATGTTTTCTCCCCACCCAACTTAAATGACAATTAAATATCTGAGTAGCTACTCGATAAAGCTTCCTGACCTTTATCGAGTACCTTCCTGACCGAAGCTGTCAGGTACTTCCTGATTCTCAGGAAGCTTTGGTGGCTTCTTCTCTATTGCCACCATGAGGTTGCCAGTTGTAGTTTTGAACAGGGCTGGACTGGTAATCTGGCATACCAGGCACTGGCCGACAGACCAGCGCACTGGCCAATGCCTGGTATTGCAGATTACAGCATTTTGGCCCACTCTTCTTTAGTTCATTGAGGTTTGAAGTCATTTGTTTTTTCACAGCTCTCTTAAAGTCCCACCACAGCATTTCTATGATTTTGATGTCTGGACTTTGACTGGGCCATTGTTGCACCTTGATTCTTTTGGTTTTCCATCACTCTATTGTAAAGTTTCTGCTGTGCTCTGGATCGTTGTTCTGTTGCATGACCCAGTTTTTGCCAAGCTTCAGCTACCAGACAGATGGCCTCACATTTAAGTTGAGAGTACTTTGGTACAAACCCTTTATTGAACAAGATTTATGGACTTCGTTTGTAAAAAACAAAAAAAACAAAAAAAAAACTTAACCCAAAATTAAACAATTTTCTCTGTGGCTCAAATTGGTTGAGGATTATGGATTTTTTTTTCCCATGTTCAGACAGCAGTGCCTCGTAAAAGCCTTGTGCTACCGTGAAAGAGTCTGAGATGCTGCTCTTGGGTTCTCTGTAGTTTATCTAAGCATTGCACCTTGTGGTAAATATGCTGGGACATCCACGCCTGGGAAGATTAGCAAGTCCCTTGAATGTTTTCCACTTGTAAATATATTTTCTCACTTCTGAATGATGGACTTCAGATGATGATTTGGAAATGACCTTAAAACTCTTTCCCAGACTGATGAGTAGCAACAACTTTTTCTCAGATATTATTGCTGATTTCCTCCTTGGCATTGCGCAAACACACACCTGATTGCCCCAAACCTGCAAACTGTTAAAAACCTCTGCTTTTATAGAGGTGCTAATACTTGCAGTTCATCAGTTATTCAAGTGCATTTTTTTCTAAGCACTTGGCTTCTCCTTGCCCTAATAATCCCCGTGGAACTTCTTACTTGATTAAGACCTGCTAAGGACCAGATGATTTTCTATGATATATATATAAAGCCTTAAAAGTTCAGTTTAATTTATATAGTGCCAAATGACAACAATAGTTGCCTCAAGGTGATTTATATTGTAAGGTAAAGATGCTAGAATAATAGAAAGAAAATAGAGAAAACCCCAACAATCATAGGACTCCCTTTGAGCAAATGCTTTGGCAACCGTGGGATGGAAAAACTCCCTTTTAACAGGAAGAAACCTCCAGTAACCCCAAGCTCAGGGAGGTTCAGAAAGAAGGTAAACAGCATGTGTGCATGCTGTTTGTTCCACAAGACCTATATTCTAGTGGGTGCACAGACTTACTGATGTCTTCAGACAGAGGTGGGAACTCATAGATGTGTTCACAGGTGTTCTTGCTGCTGGGCATGCAGAAGCCAAACTCAAAGTCAAAACTCTTGAGCAACTTCTCTCTGAAATAGTGCCTTTCAATCATCCTGAAATTCTCTATCGGTCTGTCTCCGACTGTGAACTCAACACTGGAAGGAAAAACATACACAGACAAGGTTCATTCTTTCCTTTGTTAACTGTGTCCTTGTCAATAAAGATTCACACACATTCTCACTTACGTGGCTCCGACTTGCCGCAGTCGGAGAAACGCAGGGGTGAACTGGTAACGGACGAATCGGCCGGCATTTGGGTCAATATCCCTCTTCTCACTTCCTTTATCTGAAGTGAAGACCAGTTTGCATGGAGCACATTAAAGTACAAGATAAACCTTTGTAGATGGAAGCCTAATAGAAATGGCAGATTTATATTGTGCTGGATGGCACCAAGTAGTAGTATTTGGTGAAGAAAAAGGACAGATTTGTTTTCCTAACGCATCTTATAATTTTTGTTGTCTTCCTTCAATTTGAGCCCTACTTTTGTAGCTTAGTTCCTCTAAAAGGATGGGCTGTGGTTGACTCTGTTTTTAGAGGTAAATAGGCCTAATCACTACTCAAACTACAGAAAGTACAAAACACATTATCAACCCATCCTGCAACGCTCTCACTTTGAAATCTCATAATGTAAAGAATATTTATTATATATATTATTGTATTTAACAACAACTATAACGTAATGTCTCCCGTGAGCTGCTGATTGGAAGCTGGTGAATAAACAATATTGATTTCTATTTGATTAATTAGCTCACAACAGTCATATTCAAAGGGATTATAGAGCTGTAGCTACAATATAGTGTATTCCAAACAATTTCTTAAATATTTATGTAGTGTTTGAAACTCATATGCTTTACAGCATTTCATGATGGAAATTTCTCTTTTTTTATAAATAGTTGACAATGAAATATATGAATGCAAAAGACAGATGACTGACCTGTAGACGGGGGTTTGGTGATTTCAAACAGCACTGTGCCGGTCTCCATGTCTCTGATCTTGAACCTGGTGAAGTCGATGTTGTAAATGTTCTCCTCTGGGCTACACAAATAATCTGAGAGGGGGAGAGAAAGGAGGTAGAATAGTTATAGATTAGACAATCTTGAAAATCAATACCTTTTGAGACTCAGCACGCAGAGAGTATTAAAAATTCACAAGTAGCAATGGAAGGGGAGGACAGATTGTGTGTTTCCTCATCTTATTTAGGAGTAAAAGGTTATTTTAATCAACCTGAAACCTCCAAGGCAGTAAAACAAAATCAGTGTAGAAGTGCAAAGAAAGCAGTCTGCTGGTCTTCACAGGTCAAGTTGAGTTTGTCTCTAAAACCACAGAGAACTTTAGAACAGAGAAAAGGGCGTTTGCTGCCTGGTACAAAACTGCTTCCGTCTCATTTTCATTAAGGTTAAGCAGTAAGGAACATGACTGCTGACTGACAGGTGTACCAACACAAGCGGCTGTAGCTGGTAAATGTTTGTTAGGCGTCACGTCCACTGTTTGTGATGTGCCTTTTGGAGAATTGGTGCATAACTGTAAACACTAAACATTTAGTCTTTTAATAATAACTAGGACTGCAACAGTCAGCCAGGTGTAATCTCAAGTGTTTTATTAGAGCCATTTCTCCATGAACACACAACTGAAAGGGATCATTTACAAGAGCTCGGTTTCTACTTATTAGCAACTGACTAATGTCTTAAAAAACTGAGCCACTTCCTCACAATTGCAATTGCAGGCAAACACCCACAAGCACCCAGTAAGAAAGAGAAGTGAGTTATTTTTATTCCCTTAATCCTTCCTGCCCTTACCAGGCAGTGTCAGTGCTTATTAGACTTCCCCAGCAGAGCAGACACTTCCTGCTTCCTGGCTGATCTGATACCACGGGAAGGCAAAACTGTAACATCTACCTATCGGCTGCATGTATGATGAGGGGAATTTTTTTAATGGATGGATCATTGAAGGCCCGAGGAGCCAAAACAGAAACCCAGAGTCACACAGCAAGTTTAAAAGATGTCACAGCGTTTGCCTTGTTTGATCTTAACAGATTGGCACTTGTCGCTGTATGTTCTGCAGTTTCTCTTGATGGGCATGCTCTTTTCACACGCACGCACACATACACACACACACATACTCATCTGCTGTGTCAGCTGACAATAAGCCAACTACATCTGCCTGCTCAAATCTGCAGTGAAACAGTGGGGACACTGCTGCTGCTTCGGGGATGATTAATCGCTGAAGAGGCAGCTCTGACTGACCAATCAGCCCACCAGCTGTTCTTCATAACACACTGACAGCTAGAAATGCCGGATATCTTCAACACCAAATAACACATCTGAGGTCAGTGTGCTTCCACTCAAAGTTTACGCAGTATGAGTTGAATTCAATTCAATTCAATTTATATAGCATCAAATCACAACAACAGTCGCCTCAAGGTGCCTTATATTGTAATGTAGACCCTACAATAATACATTCAGAGAGAAACCCAACAATCCTGACCCTCTATGAGCGAGCACTTTGGCGACAGCGGGAAGGAAAAACTCCCTTTTAACAGGAAGAAACCTCTGGCAAAACCAGGCTCAGGGAGGGGCGGCCATCTGCTGCGACCGGTTGGGGTGAGAGGAGGAAGACAGGGACAATAGAATAGCAGGACCACAGCTACATAGCCTGCTGTAAGCTGCAGGAATCAGGTGGTATTTTTGACTAATAACTCCTTGCTTGAGGTCGCTGTAGGACAGTAGTTCTAAGTCACAAACAGCAGACAGACTCAGTGCGCCTGTTTCCCACAAACATGGTGCCTCCGAGCAGCAGGGCCGGCTCACTGTCAGCGGACACCAGAGTTGTGTCTAAACTTTGGTTTCCACACAACCAGAGCTATGTTTAAACCAAACAGACCAAAAAGCATTTCTTTAAACTGAAACAATGGCGCACTGAATGCTGCTTCATGTTACACAGATGTTACACCTGTGGTAGGTGAGTCACTGTATTGTCTTATGATGCTAATTCCGAGCATAACTTAGGTAATGCTTCTGACACGCCCACTGAATGAGCAACAACCTACAAAAAAACAACAACAACAAAAAAACAGTTGTTGGAAATTGTTTTCAGGTCTGAAGGTCTTTCAAAGTTTTTCTTTAAACATCGGCTGCTTTCTCACTCATTTTTTGTCCAGTCCTTGCACCTGACCATTTCTAGAAGAATGCTGTTTTGTGTTGTTTTATAGGCCAATTTACACTGACCTATGAATCATTCAAGCATAAAAAGGCACCTAACTCAAAGGATGAAGCAGTGTTCTGTCTACACAACGGGCAATTTAGCCCACAGCCAAATTGCTGCGACCCGTTGCAAAAACACATTATTTGCTCCCATTTCTGTAGCCAAAGATAACAATTTGACGACATAAAACGTAGTTATCAGATGAAAACTTGGCATGTTTCAGAGGCCGTGTGTCCTCATAAAAATGAGGAAACTGGACAAGTGGAGGACAACAGAAGCAGAGACAGTGACAGGTGATACTAAACACGCTGCCAATGCATTAAAATCTTACCTTATATAATGTCTTTCAATGTATCTTTGCACGTTTTAATAAATCGTTGGACCTATTTCCCATTTTCCTATCCAGCTGTGAAGGAATGAGGGGTGGCTCACAACTGTAGTGTGTAAAAAAACAAACAAAAATGAAGAGTGAAAGAAAAAAGATTTTGAACTGACGTTTAACAAGTTGCCCCCACATAAAAGAATCGAGTAGGAAATAATCAACCAAAAATAACCTACATATTTACTAGTAGCTCAGTAGTAGTTCACCAGTGTGACTTCATGATGAATGTACCTGGTTTAACGTGTTGGCCTGGAGCAGTCAGGATGAGAACTTTACTGAGCTGGAGCCTGAGAGTCTGTTTATTTTAACGTTAATCCCAAATGGAGGATTATTCACAATGCACCCCGTGTGTTATTCCTCATGTTTATGTATGAAGCATCCCCCAAAGAAGAGCCTCACCCCCAAGTCGCAGCATGTTGTCAACTGCATTTACTGCATGCGGTGAGCGCGCCTGACAGAGCTGACGTTATTCACTGTGACACTGTGATGCCTTTGCTACTCTGTCAGTCTGAATGCTGAGGTCGGCTCTTCTAAACACATCAACTCTGCATACCCGGCTTCATTTAGTACCACGCAACACCTGACCATCCAAACCGCCTCAACACACACACGCATGAAACAGTCACACTAGCATAAACATTCCCAGCAACCACATAATTTTATTTAATAACATGCAATATTTGTGCCTGCAAGGTGTGGGATTTTTATTAGCAGATCTGCATTTGTGTGTCTGTGTGTGTGCTGCACACATGTATAATGTAGTCTGTTGTGCCACAGCTGCTGTTGTCCTTGTCCTTTTGCTAACCTACTGCTAATAGTTACCTTTGAGCCTCCTAATTAAGTCCCATGAGGACAATGAGGCTGAAAGCAAGACAATGGATTTGTTGTGTGAGACTGTCTGTGGCTCAGTGTCCTTTCACAAGTGTATGATCTCACTTTGCCTTAAACACACACAGACACCAACACACACAGAGCCATCTGAGGTTAACTTGCTCCCAGAAAAAACGAAGCTGCCAGCAGACTTCAGTTTATCACTGCCAGCTCTTCTTCTGGGCTGTGAACACCTCCAGACAGAGCATGTCCCAAGCTTTTAGAGTTTGTGCGTATGTGCGTTTGTGCGACTGATCAAATTTAAGTGAATTCAAAGTGTGAAGTGAAGTGGTCACCACAGTCAACACTGAATTATGGTATGTGCTGAAGATGACAAAAACCTTAACCATTGAGTGCTTGCTCTGCTGCTGGGAACAGGAAACTCATCTGCAAACCACTTCTCAAACTTAAATGTCAGCTGCTTTTAACAAAATCCTCAAGTGGCTTCTCACTTCACGTCCTTCACAAAACAAAAGTTTGCTGATCAGAGCGTTCAGTGTCTTATTCCCACTGCTTATAGGTGCATCTCATTCGTGCACATGAATGATGCCTCGTGCTGATATTAAAGTATGTCCTCGTGTTATTTTACAGCTTCGCTGCCCACATGAATACTAGAAAAGATACACACAGTGAACAGGCTCTGTTTGGATTGGACGTATTGCCTTTCATTTGTTCACCAGCCCACATTTTAGGAATCGTGGGTTTAAAGGGGATCTATCAACTTCATTTTCAGATCTATATTTTTATTCTTGGACTCTTGTAGAAAAACTTTGTATGGAACAATGCTCATTGATCATATACAGCCCTTCAGTTCAACCCAATCCATACCAAGCTATTAAGCTAATTTTCTTCTCTCTTCAGGCCAACTTTGCTCTGATTGGATACCACTTGCAAATATTAAGGTTGACCAGCAGGTGGGTGGGGCTTTCATGCTCACATATTGAGGATATTTGCTCTCCAATATTAAAGAGAACAAATTAGAGCATTTAGAGCAGTCTGAAGCCTCAGACTCAAGAAAAAGAAAAAAGGCTCTAGAGGAAGAGTTGAGCTGATTTTCACCCACTTGCAGGGTTAGCTAACATAAAGGAAATGCTGACTCAGTCTTTGGTCAGAGGGGTCTGAAGTGGCACTTCATATTATGTCAAACATATGCATGTGTCAAAAATATTATCTACTATTTGAGTTACATCAAATTACTGTAAACAGTTTATCTTTTTCTTTTTCTTAATTTACCGGCCAAAATACTTCCAATGTCCCTCCCTCCACGATTCAAGCTGTGTTAAGGCATGGTAAGGTTAACATTTACCAGGCCACCTGCCCCACAGGTAAACATGAAAAGACACCAAAATCAGAGAGAGAAAAAAGCAAGCAGGGGGTGGAAACAACTGCATCAGAGAGCAGCAACAGATCCAAGAAAGAGTTGGCCCTCAGGGAGTGAGGAAGCCTCACACCCCCAGAGAGTTTTCCATTAAATATCCTCACAGGTGGGCCCGGTTGTGCCAGAAAGGTTTAATGATGGATAAAGGAAAAATGAAATTATTTAAAGCAGCATCTTCATAAAAACAGGATGAATTGTTTTTATGAAGATGGGAACT